TTTGGTTCATTTCTTGCTATTAGATTACGACCGCTAAACAGCAGAATTTGCGATTAAGTAACAGATCACGGTTTTTCTTTGCTTTGAAATCATTCCTAGCAAAATTTATCCGACCGGTAATAATGTTGGGTTCACATTTAATGATGTATCCGCAGAGAAAAGGAGGTACAACTTCAAAGGCATTTGATAGTCTATACTCTCGCTCAGCGAAATAACATATTAAAAAGGGGGAATTTCCTTAACTAGATATTTTTCGATCAAAGTCCCTTTGCCCCAAAAAGGAGGAGAGCCTTCGATGATGGCATTGAGGAACATTGATGGTAGCTAACATAGTAGCCTCAGCCGCGATGAAGTCTCTGAACACTTTTTTCTCTTAATAATCGCCTTTTTGATGTTAAACGATGTTCTTTCGGACACAGCGAGGTTGGCTTACAGAAAAAATCGCTCCTAATTCGTAGCTAATACTGAGGGTGTAGAGCTTTCAAAGCAAAAGGAGAATCCGAAGTGTTATTCACGCATAGCAAATTTTCCAGAGGAAGAAGGAGCGCCCGGCGTAGCCGGGCGAACCCACAAGAAGGAGGGAAGCCTGGCGTTAGCCGGGCGGCCCGACTGGTAAATTGATAAATCATTAGGCCCATTTTCTCTGAAATATATCTTTTCAGTGAACATGGTAACGTTATGATTGCTTCTGATAAAAAGTACAAAATTGCAAAGTCACATATATAAGGAATTCCCATCACTGCGCCTTCCATGTAACAGGTGATCATCATGCTGCTACTTTTCTTCAATCTACGGCTACGCATTCCAATGTGAATCCGGGGCTGTGTATATAAAAGATCATTCAGAATGTCAGTCGAAACTAGGTGGAACACAAACATCAGAGGCGAGTCTGTTTCATATGGGCATCATCTCTGTAATGCTTCTACTGGTTCGCTTCGGTTTAGAACAGACCTTTCCACAGAGCCAGTCGAATACATTTGCTGGGTCTGCTTGATGTTTATAAGCACATTGCTTCGGGGACCAGACATAGCTGCTGATCACTGACTTCACTTCTCACTCTAGCTGGGGTCCAAAGTTCCTATGAAGCTAGGGAATGCTCTGTCAAATTCATATTGGAATCGCCCAAAACTAACAAACTCCGACGAAGGCAGGCACCCGTAATCAATTGAGGGAAAAAGTGTTTGATCGTTCCCTTACCTTGATATATCTGATGATAAAGACTTCTGATTGTAAAGTTCAAATGGGAACGAATGATATTGGATCCTCTCCTTTGCTCAGGAAGTTTTACAAGTAGTCATAGCATTCAGTCTGTTCTAACACGGCTGCAACTAAGACAAGCCATAGCGTTTGAAAGTGATTAAGGAGCAGTTCCACAAATTGGAAACTGCTCAAGCTCAACTACTCAAGTTGTTTGCTTAATTTTCTTAGTTATGGGAATGAGGAGAGAAAAAAGGATGTTTTACTTACCTACTGAGACAAACTTTTCAGACGAACAGGCGACAAACAAGATGACTGAAATGTACAAGACCTAAAAAGAAGAAGAATCACATTCGAAGTCTCCCTAATACTCTAATGTGGGAAGGAAAGGCCATCCAGGTCGAAAAAGCAGGACTGGATCCTAAACTGAACCACTGGATATGAGCTGGTCACTTCTAGCTGCCAGCCTGCCCTCTTTTTCCTCCATCTTTGAACAGTCGATTCTGACAGTGTTTTGACGGTCTGATAACAAACATCAAAAAGCTCGCTAAGAGAAATTGTCTTCAGAGGGTGAGACCACAACCGCCGCCCATGCAAGGACGCACCTAATGGGTGTTGGGTTTTGTTTGAGGGGCACCGATCACACCCAGCATGCGTACGAGTTTTTAAGGTCATTTACTACTTCCAAACAATTCTTCCTCTGGCAAAAGGAAAAGGGCTCAAGTGGATAGTGGGCAGGGATCACAAAAGCCTTCCATAACCCTCAATACAAACGCTATACTACATGAATAATTAGAGACTACAAGGAAGTCAACTCACCCGAGTTCCCATGACTGGCAACCAGCAATCTTGTAAATTTCCACTTGTAAGCCACTTATGTAGATGACAGATGGGTAGAGGAAATTGTCATGCTGTCATGCCTTATCTTAAATGTAGCTTTATCAAGGTGCATGCCACATCAAAGTTCTCTTTTACCTTGTAATAAAATAGCAATTATTCTATGAAAAAATGAATACGTGGTGGCAGCTGTGCACATGGTCAACAGGTTGTTTTTCGAAGCCTTTCCTCTCTTCTGAAATATGGTAGAAGATGGGGAAGGGAGGGGTGGGTATGCGAAGTAAAATAACCAATACTCATTAAAGGCATAGTTCACGATAATTTTGAGGTTCACTTTTCATGTCGAAAAATGGGAGTGTCGATGTAAAGGAGTGCATCGACGGCGAAGAAAGCGAGAAAATCCATACACTTCAAGGCTTTTTAAAAGTGGTGGAATTGAGCTTGTACGAGATCACCGTGACGGGAATGACAGCATTAGGACGAGATTTAACTTGCTCCCACAATGAGATGAGTACATCAAGCCGAAGTTGTCCGCAACTTCCTTTCACTATTGCCATGAACTATGACAAGTTGGTAGAACATCCTACATGGGAGTCTCTTGAGATGTTGCAGCCTATACAGAGCCGTTCAAATTCGTCCACTATGGGTGTGTCATTCACACGATACAATCCTTGACCCTTTACTGTGCTCTATCCAGGAAGCTTTTCGAGCTTGTAACAGCAGGTATGGTGTGAGGGGGAGCCTCGAGTTCATACTATAGGGAAATCTCAGAACCACTTTTATCGTGAACTGTGCCTTTAAGACGAATCTCTTCAGTTATAAGTACCTGTAGGATAAAGAATAAATGACAGTGTTTTCAGAGTCATTCATTCACTTTTCGAGGTGGATGAATCTTAGTGAAGTAGTAAATAAGCGAAAGTACGCCACTTTTCGCCGTATAAACAGGGCTCCCGCTGACTGTACACACACACCACCTACTAGTGCGTTCAGGCGGTCCCACGCTAATGATATTACTCCTACCACTTACCGATGTACCACATGATCTTCCGATCTTGCGGTTCTGACCTTGCGCTGTACTCCCCCCTATAATCCTTCTGAACCTGCTTCTAAACGCTACGCCTTATACTTTGTCATGCCTCTGGGCGTCATGTGTGTTACTAACAATTAATATGTTCTGGATATCCTTTTGGTCTTGGCTATACTCTATGCCCAAAATAATACGATTTGCATAAATGTGTGAACAACGCTAATCTTGCTACACAATATAACATAAGATGATAGAAGTTCCTATTATAAACACAAGGAGAAGCAAAGTGTTCAGATACCTACAGTCAAGACCTTGCGTAATCAGGGATCGTCGACGCTCTCTGTCCTTGAGGAGCGGTACTTCGCGGCATCCCGGTATCCTCTTACCACAGGACCGTGAGCCTTTGAATCCTCGAGTTCCTGCACATCTCCTGACGACCCCTCAGCGTGCTCATCCCTCCCTTCCAGTAATCCATCGATCAATTCCATCACGGTTCGGAAACCCATCTTCCTTCGAACAAGTGATAGACGATAGGTGACAATAGGGAATACGGGGCCAGAGCCAGTGTGACAAGTCGACGCGCAGTCGGCGCGAGGTTCAACCGGAAAGAAGTTAGTGAGCTGCGCGGTGAGCGCGATGACGGCCTGGCGTAAAAAAGCAGTGGGCATCACGACACCTCGCAAACATTAGTTGTGAACTCTCGAAGCCTATTTCAGTGGGGCAATACATAACATCCATTCCGAAATTCTGATTGAACCATGCTAAGTCTTTGCTTTGAGGTATAATCCGGGAAGTTCTCTTTCTTGAATTCCTCCAAGTTGACTACCGATGGCAGTTCTCCAATCAACACTCACTAGCCATTGTATTGCAGTGGAATCTTCGCTCCATAGACACGAGGTGTTCCTATTGAGTCGTTCCAAGCTTTTGTTTTGAACTCTGGTCATCATACTGCCTGCCGCCCTGATAATCCATTCAACGTACTGAGGATGTCACCGTCCCGATCCTGCGGTAATCGCAAAATCGCATGACGTGTCCCGCCCACCTGACCTTCGAGTCCTTGGCATAAGCAAAAACGTTCCTGGCCTTCTATCGCAACTGAGCTCAGAATCAGGATTTCTTTCTCAATTGCTACGCCGAGAAATCTGGAAATCGTACTTCTACAGCTTGTTTGATGCCATAATGCCACCGCCGTCTACACGTCCATACTGCTACCCCTCGACGATTGATCTTACCTACTGAATTCTTAGCTCTGCGAGTGTCAAATCAGCCCATATGCGTACCAAATCTCACCGATGAGAATGTAAGCACGCTGAGGCATGTTCCACATTTGAAGTTCAAAGTTACTCAGCAAACGCATCAGAAATAGTTTGAGTGATTTAGAAAAACACAGAAGAGCATGCTCCATTCTTGAGTGGCAGCCTGGAAACCTCCTTTTCCGGTCCCCAGCTCTTCGCTAACAGTTCTCATTCTAGGCATTCAATGCCGTTTTGAATCCCAGTTTTGTCAGTAGGAAAGGGTGACCTATGAATCGTGTTCCGATCATGGCTGGCAGGTTGAAAGGAATTGAACATCCCATCTAGAAACACGGTTTGCCTCAAAAAATGGTCCCAAAGATTCCTTGTCTTTAGAAGTCTACGGTCTCCAGGAAGACCACATAACAGTAGTAGCAAATTCTAGACGCTCAAGGTGCCACAGTCGGTGAATACTTCAAGAACGAGTATGTTGAAATGTCTGGTTGACGCTTTTACGCTTAAGGGCAGTACTTTTGTTGCAGTATAAAATGCAATTACATAATATCGGACGAGTGCTATCACCCTTCCCTCTCTTTACATTTATCCACCATTTGGGACGAATGTGAGTTACATTAACTATCGTCTACAGGTTTGATCCCAGGTAAAGACAGTGATCATATGCTCAACTAGACCAATCCTCAAGATTTATTCCACATACAGTACTTTTGTACCGATCAAACGATCAAATTCTGAATTCTCCTGAGACGACATACGATTCGAATTCGCAGTGATTCACTCCACGTAGGATACGGAAGAAACCTGAAAAATAGTCTCATGAAAGAACACTGCACGGTTTCACTTCAGTCGAAAAAGCTGAACTCTGGCTAACGATCGGTTGTTGTGAAGTGACGTTTACAATATCAGTTCATACAAATCTGCTAGTATTGTTGACTTTTAACTTCTCTTCACTGTGAGAAAAAGTATTAGCAAGGCTTTTTATTCACGCCCTTGCCTCTTTCTCATCATGCCTTTTCGGAACCAACCAAGATCCAAAATAATTGTGCCCTACGTGAAAAGATGGACTAGATCACCGAAACGTCTTAGAACTCCCTAGACAGCATACGCGTTTCACTTATTTTCCGTTGTTACCGATGAATATCTGGTGGGCACCTTTACCTTCAAATGACATTGATCAAAAGTTTTCATTGAATGCCGGCGTCAGCCTTGTACCGAGCTCCTATAGAAGTACGAAAAATGTCACCTCCGCTGTAGATTCCGCTTCTCCTACCGTAAAGGAGAAGGCACCAAAAGCACCACTTTGCCTGGCTGAAACTGTGCATTCAAGAATGTCAAGGTAGCGTTGAGAAATGCGCTCTGGGAAGGAAAATGCAAGCAAATACTGATATACAAGTGCAGAGGGGGTGTCGGAGGCAAAGAAAACAGGACTATTTAAAACACAAGGTGGGCTGGACATTTCACGAGAGTCTTTGATGACCGTTGAAGAATCAAGTTAGTTTTGTTCTTCAGCAAACTGAAATGCTGTCGATAGTCTGGGATCAAAAGCAGAGTAACTCATATATTACCGTTTTCTCCCCAGTCGTCATGCCACGAGTTCGCAACAGTCCAATATTTCGTGCCATTTTCAACACCCCATCCAATGACTTTCACAGCATGTGCACCCCTTTCTTTACCTCTCACGTGCTGAAAAGCGGAGTTTGAGCAATTCAAGTTAAGAGGCATAAGAGTTTGACTATAAATGTTACTGCCGAGTTTACATATGTTATCTTACCACATAAATTCCTTTCTTGTAAAAGGAAAAGTCCTCATAAGTGATAAAGGCAGCTTGTACTGGCCCATTTTTCATCATTTCTCTTTGAATGACTTTTTCGTCATTATCAAGAATGTATGTAGATTTCACTGAATACATTCACTTGAATAAAAGAAACTGAAAATCAAAATGAGTTCATAAGATTGGTGAAGGAGTTAGAGCAAAAGAATGCTTTTACGGTGGCCTGAGATTGCATTTCCGATCCCACTTATTCCCTCAAGGATGAGTACCAGTGATAGCTGCTTCAAGCAAAGCTAGTCTGTACTTACAAGGGAAGGATCCCAAGTCGAAGTGGCCATTTGAAATGGGACCCATACCGCTAGGCGTATTTTTTGACGCTGATTTCAAATCTGCATTCAAAATCTGCCAAACGATTCTCTGAGAGAAGTTATGGAGGTGGTCTCCGGAGAGCGCTCAACAGAGGAAAGCACAAAAGCCATGGCCGCCGGCCACCGAGCAGTGGCGGCTTGGAGTGGAGGTAAGCGTGACGCATCACAGGCACGGGACCAAGGGTAGGGTTTGGTGGGCGGCGGCG